CACATATGGAAAGGTAGTTAGCATGTGACCATTTCTAATTTATAGCCTTTATGAGGAAAAGTTTTTCAATATTTTTTCTTTATTAAAGAAAAAAATACCTACTCTGCAAACAATTGGGTTCACCCCTTGAATTATTTATGTGCTCCAGGGATTACCTAGAGAAGATTATTAATCTCTTAGTGGCTTCTAACCACTAATTAGAATGCCCTTTGGATACTGCCCTTAACTGAACAAAGACTGGATCCTAAATCTGGTGTCCCTGTAATAATTAAACACACACACACACACACACACACACACACTAAACACATAAATAACACTTAAGCCAAACACAACTTTCACTTTAGCAGTACTTTAGATCATTTACACTATTACTCTAATTAAATCTATAATAAATTTAAAAGGAGAGGACTTTAAGGTGACTTTCACTGATAAGGGGAAGTACTTATAATAAAACACTCACTAACCCATTCACACCTCCTCCTTCAAATCAATTTAACTACTTATCTAACACAGTTCACATGTATACTTTCCTTTATCTATGATGAATGCACCCTAGTAACTGCTGGGAGTAGTATTTTTATTCTTGGTAATAAAGTCATCATATTCACCATCTGTCTGCACAGCGTTTCTCTGCACACCAGGAGCTCACATGCTACCCCATGGCTGCACTCACCGGCCCTGAGGACACTGGTGGCCTGGCAAGGGGAAGACACAGCAATGCCTGGGGTCCAAAGCCCTGAGCAGAGCTTTTCACACTTTGTAAACCATAATTTGCATGAAGAAATAAATCTTACATCACACTGAGTGTACATGCTCATGACAGACAAGGTCTTATTTTTATTTATTTATTTATTTATTTTTTGCGGAACCAGGGATTGAACTCATGCCCTTGCGTTTGCCAGGCAAGCACTTATTCTACTGAGCTAACTCTCCGGTCCCTAGACAAGGTCTTATAAATGAAGTTTACTTGTACTTGAAGTCTGGTGCATTTAGGGATCTACTTTTCTCTGCAGCATGAAATGTGCCATTACATAATCAGGACACACAGAGGAAGACACTATTCTAGAGGATGAAAGTAAGGCAGCAAGCTCAATTGATACGGGAGATCAAGGTTTCTCCAAGATGAGACAGTTTACTCAATTAATCTGCACTCAGACCTCACCCGCAAGCATACAAAATTTCCAAATCATATAGAAAATGGATTTTATCACATGAAAAAATCTTTTTCCTAATGTCAATTTTATGGGGATAAAAGACTGTAAATAAATACAAGTGGTATATAAGTTAAATAGTTTTTTAAAGTTGGCATTTACATGTCAGAGTAGGGCTTTAATATTCTACCTGAGGTTTGTAACAGTAACTGTTGCTCTCCTTATGTGCTTCATTCTATGAGAAGTAAAACAGGATAATTTCTACATCTATAGATTTACCTGATTCTCACTTTTACTATTTTCGTCTTCATTATCAAAGATGATGTCACTTTCAGAATCTGAAGCTGGTCTTAAAAAGAAAAATAGAGAAATACTAAGGACACCAGATTCCCTGTAACAATTCTAGCAATTGACACTTTTTTAAAAAATGACACTCTTAATAGAGACATTACACTCTGACCTCACTGCATGGCCACACCAACATGCTGGTGTGAGCTTCCTTATAAAGCAAAACATGGAACTCTTAACTATGTAGCCAGATAAAGATTAATAAAAAATTTCATAGCTAAATTATATTGTTTTCAAATGGATATAATGAAGTAAAATCATAAAGATGAATGGACAGGCTGGATAACTGAGAGGCATGTAATTTAGTTTAGTGCTTCTTTTTTTTTGAAACTGCAATTGGTTCTATGCCAGGATTGACAAATTAGGTCCTAACAAGCAGCTGTAAGGGCTTACCTAAAGGAAAGACCTATCTGTTTTTCTCTTCTCTCCAGGACTTTGATCCTGGAGACCTTTTGAAGACAATGGGGGAAAAATTCCTTTGGATGGAATTTGTTTATTTGCGGAACTGGGGATTGAACTCAAAGCCCTTATTCTACCGAGTCATCTCCCAGGCCCTGGATGGAATTTGATTACTCTCTAAGAGTGGACTTCACAACTTTGCTTCTTTCTTTCTTTTAATGTATTTAGTACAAAGTCCATAGGCTCTCACTATACAGATCAGACTCTTATTGATCCTGTTTTTCAACCTCCCAAGTGTGGGTATTACAGGCACGCGCACCACCACACCCAGTCTCAATCGCTCAGTCTCAATCACTGTCTCAGTGCACCCCAGGGCGGGGCCAGCACAGCTGGCCAGGGACTGAGCTCCGGCCCCTGCGGCCCCTGCAGCCCCTGAGTCTGCCTAAGCAGGTGCTTTAATCCGCTCAGTTATCTGGCTGGCCCTTTGAATAGTTATCCTACTCTATCCATCCATCCATCCATCCATCCATCCATCCATCCATATGAAATACAGGGGATGGAACTCAGGACCCTGTGTCGTTTCTTTCTTACATGATTTTTTCTTTCCTTTCTATCTTCAGTACTGAGTGTTGACCCAAGGTCTTCACATTGAGCTACAATCCCCAGCTCCCTTCGCTACTTCTAAAATTCTGAGACAGGGTCTCACTAAGTTGCTAAACTGCTCAGGGAGGATGGAAGGATCCTCACTCCTCTGAGCGGGTTCTGGAGAGGCTGTGACTGGGGCGGCCCCAGGAGTGCTGCCCCACCGGGCCCACCCGGCCTACAGGAAGGACTGCGAGAAGACGCCGCCCCGCTCATCCTCGTCCTCATCGTCCTCGTCGCTGCTGGAGCCCGCGCCGGCCCCCGGAAAGCGTGTGCTGGCGGAGCGCTCGGCCGACGTGCTCCACTCCACCGAGCTGCTGAGGATGGGCGGCGGCGCGGCGGCCTCCACGCTGTCAGTGTCACCGTCGTCGTCGGCCCTCTGCGCTGGTGCCGCGCATCCACCAGGGGCCGGGGGCCTGGAGTCTGGGGGCGGCGTCCCGGGGCCGGCCGGGCGCTCGTGTCGCTCGATCCAGGCGTTGTAGTAGCGCACGATGTTCTCGTGGTGCAGGCGCGACAGCAGCGTCACCTCGCCCTTGATCCTGCGGAAATGCCTGCTGGCCGGGTTGATGGGGATGCGCTTCACCGCGTAGCAGCAGCCGTCCAGCTTGTTCTGCACCTGCAAGGCAGGGCCCAGTGAGCGGGAGAACCGCGCCACTGGGCAGGCCCAGCAGAACGGAGACAGAGCCGGCTAGGCGGGCTCGCAGCTTGGCCAGTTCTCGGCTTGGCTCCAGCCAGCTGAGTGAGCTAGGACGACGGGAAAGGCTACCTCTATTTTAATCAGCAGTGTTTGCTATTTACTTCCCTGCTCTTCAACTGCACATCTGCGATCTAAATTTCTAAATAATTTTTGTTTTTAAAATAAAAATCTATTTCCTAAAGCCAGTGTAAGTGTTCAGGTGGTCCCCCCCCCCACATTTAGTCACTGAGCAAATTAAACTCCAAAACTTTTAACAGATCTGAAGGCAAATGACATTTCTTTGATTTATAGATCTGTGCTAATTTGAGGAATTTACTTCGTTTCCTTAACACACAATTACCTTTCCTAGAAAATGGCATTTATATCATTTGCACCTCATGGTGACTGAAGATTAAGGCGCCTGTGTCATGTCCTCATGGAGACGCAGCTGCTGACGCAATCAATCAATGGCAATTGATTCTGTTATACAACTATGATTTAAGGCTGATAATCTGATTGTCCCGCAGCCAGAACAATGTATTAAATGGCACAATAAAGTAGTAAGACTATAAGAAAACACAAAGCTAAGTCCCCATGTCCTACAGACTGAGGCATCCTCACCATGGCCCTTGAACTCTGTGACTGGTCTGACTGAATTAATTGTTCTGGAGCATCTTTTCCTGCAACCCAGTCCAGACCATGCAGGTCAACTCCCACCTGCACCGTGCAGGCCAACTAGAAGGCACAGAACATCAGGCAGGAGAAATTAGCTCAGGTGTTTCAATTAAACCATTAAAAAGATAAGAGAAACCTAAAATAGAAAAAGGAAAATGAAAGCTAGGAATTAGATCTTCAGCAAATGGGAAGGGCACCAGGAGGCATAAGGAGGGGAAAGAGAAGGGAGGGGAAAGGGATGAGACAAAAATCAAGATGTGTTATGTGCATGTACCAATCCCCCAAGAGGGATGTGATCATTATGTAAACATGGACTAATAAAAAAATAAAAATTTATAGAAAAAAGCATCCTAGGAAAAAGAAAGGAATACTGTAAGAAGTTTTTTTTTTAAATATATTTTATTAATTTTTTTGGTAAGGGTCTATGTGGCTTGGACTCATAGTGATTCTCCTGCCTCAGCCTCCCCAGTGCTGGGACTACAGATGCGCATCACCATGCCCAGTTCCAGGGCTGGCATGGCATGAGGTACCAGGGAATTGAACTCAGGTCCTTGAGCTTGCCCGGCAGATGCTTAGAGTGCCGAGCTATCTCCCCAGCCCTCTAAGAATTAGTTTGGGACAAGCTTCTTATGTGGTAATAGGGGCAAGAACACAAGCTTTGGAGTAAGCAAAGGTCTGAACTCTGGTTTTATCTCTTATCAGATGTGTGTAACCTCAGGCAAGGTATGGTATATAACTGTTCTTAGTCTTACCTGGAAGGCGAGGATTATATTCATCTTATAAGCATGTCTTATAAAAGACAAGGCTGAAAGACAAGGTTTGTAGCCACACAACCTGAAATATATAATGTGCTCCAAATACAACTGCCATATTAATTGGACAGGGACAGCTGGAAGTCTTGGCACTGTCTTTCAACCTCCTATCTCAGTACACACGCATACTCTGTGCCACTGATGGGACAGTGGAGCTTGCTACCACAGAAGTATGCAGGGATTCATTTGTTAACATGAAAAAGTGGCCGGGCATGGTGGCACATGCCTGTGATCTAAGCACTCGGGGCAGCTGAGGTAGGAGGATCACAAGTTTGAGCCTAGCTTGGGCAACTTAGTGACTTAGACCTTGTCTCAAAATAAAACATAAAAAGGGGATGAGGATATAGCTCAGAGTGAAGGCTCTGGGCTCCATCTCCAGTACTGGGAAAAAAAGAAAGGAAGGAAGAAAGAAGATAAGAGGAATAAACAGTAAAGGGTCTACTAATAAGAGAATGCCAAATCCCTGAGCAGACTGCCCTCCTGAGAGCTGGAAATTCAGAGAAAGACAAAAGAGGCGGTAGGTTCTCACTGGAAGAAATTACAGGAGAAATGCAAGGCTACACGCATAAAGATGTTCCAGTTATATAATCTTACAAATCATTATAAGTACCTACAGGGAAGTTAAGCTTCTTAATATTTTACATTTGGGTGGGGCAGATGGCTCAGTAGAATAAGTGCTTCCCTG